AAAAAAAATATTTTAAACAAAAAAATTAAAAACCGATTTTTAAAAAATTGGTATCCTTGTAAAGGCTACCCGGAAACTTATACTTTCTTAATCCCAAAAATTTCTATTTACATATATCCACAAAGAAAAAAAATTGAATTAAACTGTTCTATTGTTAGAGCGCATACATGGTTCCACAATAATGATTCCAGTATCTTCATTTATGTACATATTTTGTAACTACCAATATCTTATAAATAGAAGTGTAAATTTTTTTATCTAAAACTAATAAAGTTAGAAGGACGAAATTCGAGGATGTGGTAGTTTACATATTAGTCCTTGACGTAAATTTTTTTCAAAAATAAATATTGGAAATTTCCAAGGATATTCAAGGATAAAATTTTAAAAGGACATTTCCAACATATATTCGTCCTCGTGCAACAAAAAATTAATTTTTTTTTTAATTTTACAGAATTTTTCCTTTTAACTGATACCCATATTGTTACTATACAATGCACCAAATCTTTTAAATAATTTTTTTATTTAATCATATCCTGGAAATTTCAAGCTCCTTAAAAAAAAATTAAAAACGCAGTCGTTTTGTGAATATATTGATTTTTTCGTGTGTTTTAAAAATTTTTGGTTTTTGTCGCACGGTGTTACATACTGTACATAAAACTTGCATTCATGTATTTTAGAGAGCACATCATCTGAAGTGAATTTTCAGTATTTTCTGGGAGTAGAAGTATAAAAGGGTAATAAACCCTGTCCATCTCTATTAGAACGATTAAACTTTAATGTCCCGATTCGTAACCTTAGACACTTTTCAATGGTTTAAATATGTGGGCATACTCAACTCAAATTACTCTAAAAATGCACTCTTAATGAGAACTCTTTCCGAATTAAATAATATTTCGGGTTTGGACCTATCTCTTCCAAAAGGAGCAGTGCGTAGTTTAATTTATAACTATTTTAATTAGCTGGTAGCCAACTTTGTCAGTAAGAAACTATTGTTCTGTTTGACTGAAATAAATAAAAATAAAAGAACTAAAATTTTTATTACCTGATATGAAACTTCCCCTTAAAATTCGCTGACTCGAAATTGGTTTTAGGAACACAGTTTTTTATGCAAAGTTGCTCAGAATTATACGTAGAGCATTTTCCGCATATGCGATTTTATGGGAAAAAATCGACCCGCCCTAATACATACATACTTATCCATACACGTACCATGGTGGAATAATATACACGTACAATATTTCATAAAATTTTTATTTTTTTCAGGTTCCTATTTTCAAAATGAATTTCAAAGCGTTTACGGCAGTCATACTCGTTTTCGTGGGATGTTGTAGTAACGTTGTTTTCTTGGAATATCTTGTAAAGTAAGTTATGGCTTAATGCAATGCATACCTGTATTTGGAGGTTGACGCTAATGAATGTAGATAATATTTTTATTTTTATTTTTTTAACTCCGATAACAAAACTAGAGTTTTTAATTAAAAATGCTACTTAGTTTTAAACAAAATGGTAAGGGTAAACCTAAATTTGATCATACAATAATTGCATTTAAATTTCGCTTTGTTCGTGCAAATGAAATTACCATAATTTAAAAAATTAGAAAAACAAAGAAATTTTTATAAAATGGAAATTCAGGGACTATAAAAAGTACGAAGAAATTTGAATTAATGCGTAAAATTCAAAATAATTTTTTGGCCTTTCAAGCATTTCTTTTACTCCTCAAATAATGTTCTTCATCTATGTAGATATATATTATCCACTACAAATTTCCCCTTTAAATTGAATATGCGTAACAAATTAATGTGTGTAGATAAGTGCATTCATATACATATGTGCATATCGCCACCTGAAATGCAAAATAACGTAACAACATCGTCACTGAAATGCAAAAAGTCGTAACTTATAAAAAATTCAAAATTCACTTTTTGATTACTATGATGGATTTCATCGAATTACAACTCCCCACATCGTTTTATGAAAAAAAAAAAAAAAATTAGTCACGACTTTTGCCATTTCAGTGACTATGTTGTTACGTTATTTTGCATTTCAGGTAACGATATGTATGTTTAGATAACGTTTTTGGAACTAGTTAACTAACATATACTGAATGTATGCATATGTACATATGTACATTTACGAATTTGGAGAAAGAAATCATATGTCATCATGTTCGTTTATTATATACTTAAAAAATCTTGTCTACATCCGTTCAGTAGTGCGGTCAAAATATCTCGCCTTTCCTTTATACTATTTATGTATAGAAGATAGTAATTTTAAATAGGTGGCAACCCTACTAAAAAAATTGAAGTTTTTGTACATGCGAAAGCCATGCATTGTGCTTTCTGTGGGTTGGAATTTAGAGTAAACTATAAGAAACTTCCATTTAAAAATTTTACATTTTTATTTAACTTTCATTAAGATAGCATCTTGAACTAGTCCTATTAATGACTAAACTAAAGATGTCATTCGAAAACTCAATGAACTACTGCTTTGAAGAGAAAATGACCTGACTCGAGAGAAGTTCTTTTGTCAACAGTCCACAGAAATGCCCCGCAAACATATTCTGAGAGCTCAGAACATATGAGTCCGAAAGGAGTCCTAGGTGGGTAAGAAGTATGAGCTTCAAAAATAAAAGATGTGTGTCTCTTATATGAATCTTTTAGGAGTCATATACATACATACATATGATCCAAGTCAAGAGCCAGCAATTTGTGCCAATAGGTCCATTCCTCATCTTTTCGGTCTAAATTCTGAAAAGTGTCAAAATGCAAGAGCGTAGGCAAAATGCGCTAAAGAGAATAATAGGAAAAGGTAAAGGAACGCAAAAAACCAAATTTTTAGTCCAAAGAATGGTAACAACAAAACTAACGTCAAATAAGAATAGAAATGTATGTACAAAACACATTCACACAAGCACAATAAACACTTACTACCTATGTATATCAATTATTTTTTTTGTGCCTCCCACTTTCAATTCACATTTTCACTTTTTATATTATTCTCACCTTTTGTGTATTCTTTAATTTCCGTTAATTTAAATTCAGTTGAGTTTGACACTTTTCAAGATTTTGCCAGCAAAAAATTCTTCTGACTAAATCTGACTACTTCGGACTGAAGAGAGTCTCTCTCATTTTTGCTGTAATTTTAGAGTTAACGAACGCTTTTTGGACTAAATCTGACTACTTCGGACTTTTTCTGACTATTTCTGAGAGATAAGGAACGCAACTAATATAAAAACAATAAAGATTCTTTAAGTTTTTTGGTAGAGAAGATTTTATATCACAAATTTGGGATTATGTTTAAAGTAGTTTTAATAATATTTATCGTTTAAAATTAATTCAAATCTTATCTTAAAAATTTTTAATTTTTCACTAAATACGATGACCGCTTCCCAAAGGCTTTATTTTTAGATTACCTAATTAAATTTTAGTGAACATATACATTTGTATATGTAAGTATTTTAACATTTTTTATTTAGTGTCCTTTTATCATCTGATTATTTTACAATGCATCTAGTCAGGACTATTACCGTTTTCTATACCGAAGATAATTGTTTCTGATATACACATTTCGGTGTGAATTTAATTCATATTTATGGTGGCTTGCGAATCTCTTAAATATAATTTACTATTCAATATTGGAGGGGGTGTGAAACAAAATTGACGACTCCACCCATTAGAAAGAGAACGGTCCAAACTTTAAGGCAAGTCACCCTTCACCTCTCCGACCGCTGGCGACCCATTCGAATGGGGTAAAATTATCATTTTGCCAGAAACTGTTAACTCGGTTTACGCCAACCACAGGATTTACGCGCAGAATACCTTTCCGCGTTGGAGGCCTTCGGCCGCAATTAAAAAAAAAAATAACCCTAATCTGCCCAATTCCGGCTAGACAGTAATTTTTTACAAAATGGTGCATATTCCACACCGAATTTATTAACAATTTAGTGTTTTTATTTGGGTTACGCGTGTGAACAAAATAATACAAAATCATTGTACAAACAACCGTACCGTACCAAACAAAAGACCGCTTGCTTGTTTAAATTTCGATTCTAAGAACAAAAGGCTTTAAATAAACAAAAAATTAATAATAAAATTTGAAGGATTTTAGATATTGGATATGGTGGCACGAAATGTCACAATCTGCTTAATTTTCAGGTTGCGCCGAAAAAGTGACAATGAACTGCCTTCTTTTTTGTATCATGATTTATATCTAATAAAGCACTGCATATATACCAGCAGAAATACTCTTCACATGTGTACATGAGTAAATTGAACATATATTTTAGAGCATGATAAAAACATAGCAAGGTAGAACCGTTCTCTCAATTTGTCGGCCATGATTTTTTTTGAAGTTTGCCAACATTTTAAAATCATATAAAACTGAAAATAAAAGATTGAAATTGTTCGAAATTGTTGTTGCTTGAGATTGAAAATGAAAATGTGTGTGTGAGTTTGTGAGTAAATTTAAAAATTAAATTGTTTGGAAACGTCAAGAATTTTAAAAGTGACTCTCCGGTTCTACCTTACTATATTTTTATCATGTTTTAGAGTACTTAAAAGATAGGAACAAACAAAGAGAACATCATAAATTTGAGGAACTGAGCACTGTTACTTAACAGCGCTCTGCTACATAAAACATTGTTCCGCTTTTCCAGAGCATTTAATTTTTAATTTAAAATGCAAGTCCGCGTTTCAAGATAATGCAAAACCGCGTATGTGAGGTTGCATAAATTGTTTTCTAGAGAGTAAAAACACTCATATTTAAAAATGGTTTTCTTTTTTACAAAGAAATCGGATATCAGGACGAATGGAGAAGGCTTGAGCCAAGAGCTTGTGTGAACAAATCCAATTTTTGGCAAAAAATGTCAGCTACGCGGTTTTGCACAACGACGATAAGCGGTTTTGTACGTTAAACGACAATATGTAAGTATACTCTTTCTTTATGCGTTCTGAAACCTCCCAGCAAAAAACACGATTACCACAGAAACGAAAGTGGAAACGAGCCAGGCGATGGGAATCACTTACCCTTTCGCTTCAAGCCCCTACCCGCAGCATTACCTTCGAACGAAGGTAGAACGCATGGATAAACAGAATCCAGAGAAGCGAACAAAGAATGCCTTTCAGAGAAACTAATGTAGAATGCCTAGATAAGTACAGACCATGATAAAACCATTAGAAGGTAAAATCATTCTCTCAATTCGTCGGCCATCATTTTTTTCTGGCGTTTGCAAACATTTTAAAACCATATAAAATGGAAAATAAAAAAATTAAACCACAATTGTTGTTTGAGATTAAAAGTGATATTAGGTTTATTCGTCGGAAATCCAGCAAGAATTATCCAACACTCAAAATATCAGAGAGTAAGAAAAAATTCTCTCAAATTCTCTCTCTTGCTGAGAAACTTGTAAATTTCTGCACGAAGGCAAATTTGCAGAAATTTGCAAGTTACCCTGCCAGCTGGACACCATTTGCATTTCAAACATAATAAATTTGTATAGAATTTTTAAAATTCTTGCAGATGGACAAAAACAGGATATACATGTATATTTCTTGTTGTTCTGACTTTCTTTAACATAAATTTCAATTTCTTTATCGTACTAGCTGTCGGGTTTCTTAAATCGACTCTGGCTGCAATTGCATTCCTAAAATCATTGGAATTAACTAAATTAATTATATCAACAAGTATTTACTTCCTTTTTCATAAAAAAATCGCTCGTGTTTATGAGTTTTTAAATTTAACGAACTTATTTATTCAAATTATCGTAGACAAAAATGCAACCATGCGCCACAATCACATGTTTTTCATGTTTGCAAATTCTTGCTAACAAAATTTTTTCCAGCAAGAATTTGCAACTTCTCTCCAAGAGAACTGTCACTTTGCTCTCACAATTTTTGAGTGTTGGATAATTTTTTGGTCTGCACGAACGCGATTTGGGCAAAAATCGTGATAATTCGTACAAATTCGTACAAATTTTTTGCTCGACGAACAAACCTATTGCTGGCAAACGTTAGACTGCCTCTCAATGATTTTACCTTGTAATGTTTTTATCATGGTACATACTTATTTAAATTAAATTGAAAACAGAAAATACTACGATGCAGCATTCTACTTTGCATTCCCTGAAATGAAACAAAGAAGCGAAACAAATAAAATATTGTAGGGCATTCTCCTTTGCATTCCCCGAAATGACGCAAAGAAGCGAATTAAAAAAATATATTATAGGATATTCTACTTTCCATTCCCCGAAATGAAACAAAGAAGCGAAATAAATAAAATATTGTATGACATTCTACTTTGCATTACCGGCAATGCCTAAATGAAGCGAAAAAATTCGAGGGCATTATAACGCTATGCCTTCTAGAACACGTTACCACTAAAAGCGATTACCGATATTTTGCTGGGCTAGTCGTCAACCCCATTTTCGAAATTATGTAGCCGGCATAGTTTTCAAGTCCATGTCATAATTTTATTAAAAGTCAAATGGATATACCTATGTACATAGAAACAATATGAACAAAAATTACTTGAAGCGTTCGGATTCCTTACAATCGTTAATCCTAAAGCTTTCCGAAAAAATCTGTATGCGACTGGCAAAAGTAACCAAAACTAGCTTTTGTATTAAAATTTTGACAAATAAAGTAAACGTTACGACTTTTTTTTACATATAAAGTATTTATATTTTACGTCCGAACGCTTGAAAAAAAATCACAATTTGTAATTTAACTTAAGACGGTCCCTATATATTTTTACGCTGTTTTTGTTGTATAGAGTTCCAATTTTTTTTTTATCGTGTACCAAAATTATGAAGGCTTTCTGGAAGGTATGGTTTCTCCGAAAAAAAAATGCTTGAAAGTGTAGTTGGAAAGGCGCCAATATCTTGAAATGGAATGGACCAATTAGTCCAATATTTTGGTGGATTAAAGACAAAATATGTAGTTATCGATTGGCATCTATAAACTTTTATTTGTTTGCTCTCGGTTGACACATTTCCGGAAATACCCATATGTAAGTTGATTTAAAAAAAAATGACCCAAGATGTTATAACAAAATTTAATTTTCGAGAGCACATTTCTCCCATTTACATATTTCATTACATACAATACATATGTATATTTTAATTCAGAAATTAATTTTTACACTTTAGAGAGGATCCCGGATCTGGGAATCTGATAACGTTTTCGCAGTTTCTTTTTATCGCTATTGAAGGACTGGTGCATATAGTTGTGACAGGCAATTTGAAGCCGAAAATACCTCTGCGTAATTATACCCTCCTGGTAGTAATGTTTTTCATTACAAGCGTAGCCAATAACTTTGCGTTTGACTTTAATATACCAATGCCTTTACATATGATATTTAGAGCGGTGAGTAAAATACATACATACATATGTAACTATATAAGTATCCCAGCAAATAATAAAGTTAGATATCGAAACTAGTCCGTTTCCCTAATCTCTAACGTTGGAAGACGAGTTGAAACGCAATAGAGAAATACTTAAACAGAAGAGGATATTCTTCACACGAGGACAAGGTGGTTCTCTAAGAGAATTCTGATGTATTTAGTTCTCTTATAAGATTCTAATGTGAATTTGAAAATATAAAATATGTATATTTGTAATTGAAGTAATGGATAAGACTGTCTGCAATGGTATTGTAATCTATAGTAGTTCTCTAACGTCGATCTCGGCTAGAAAATGTTTAAAGAATTATGCTTGTTATCTAATGTGCTAATCGAAAATTCTAGCGTTAGAGACTGTATTTGCTGGGATGTACATATGTATGTATCTGTAAATATCGTAATCTAACAAGGGCTTAATTTTTTAATCTTCATATATTTACATATGTCTTGCAGGGTTCTCTCATTGCGAACATGATAATGGGAATACTAATTTTAAAAAAGAGATATATATTTTCTAAATATTTATCAGTTTTTATGATAACTGCTGGGATTATATTATGTACCATTATATCAGGTAGTAGTGTGGTAAGTACAATCACTTGATTAAATAGTGACAATATTCGTATATTTTGTGGTCATAAGCAATAATTGCCTAAGTCGAAAAACCTGAATTCGATAAAAAAAAAACTCTTTAAAGATCTCGATTGTAATGTTAACCTTATGGGGAAAACAAAATATTTTCATCTATACATTTTTAAATAGCCTAGCTAACGAGATGGGAGTGTCACATACACATGGAATAGTAGTTGCAGAAAACGATGCCATATATAACTCAATTCTTTCTTAAGTCGACTTAGGCGGTTATTGCTTTATTTATTGCTAGCTTATGTACATGATTAATAGGGGCTGTTACTGTGTAATAGATAAACAACTATTATTCGATTATAATCCATAATTATCCATGTTATTTTCAATGTCATTTTCTCTTTCAATAAGTGAGAGTGAATTGTTTTTAGTCCCTCATCCTTCTACAAACGAACAAACAGATAATTATAAAAGGATGAACGACTAAAAACTGTTCACAGTCGCTTATTGAATGGGAAATCAGCACTCACAATACCATGGAAAGGGATAATCGAATAATAATCGTTTATCTACTATTAGTCGACACTCGCAATAGGGCTGTGAGTGAACTTAAATCTTAAAATGTCCTTATCTATTAATTAAACATTAATTTTACATTGGGAGTCGTATTTCTAATATATGTATAATTTTGGTGTTTGATAGAAAAGCGCCACCGTATCTACACCGACAGAGAATTCAAATGCTGTACATTCGGATTTCTTTATATGGACTCTTGGGATTGCACTGCTTTCTATAGCTCTCTTTATATCAGCTTATATGGGCATTTGTCAAGAAACTCTTTACAAAAGATTTGGAAAGCATCCTCAAGAAGCATTATTGTATACGGTAAAGTTTGCAAAAGAAGTCATGCGCATTTACATATAGGCTGCATATCTTTATTCATTCTGAACGTTTGGAATAAACTTTTTTGTTTACTTATTCTTTAGAACGTTCCTGGTGATATATTTATTAAAGTATATTTCAATTTCTGTTTATTCCGGCTGTGAAATGGGATTATCCGGAATGTATAAAGAAACGCAGCCATATGTAGTATGGTGTGCATATTTTTAAAACTTATCTATTTATTTTCAGCACTTGATTCCGCTACCTGGATTTTTCTTTATATATAAAAATATATGGGAGCACTTCAGCATTGCAGTTGCAAGTGAGCCAATGACACTGCCGGTAGCTTCGTTAATCGGATTAAAAGTGCAAATCCCTCAAATGTTATTTTATTTAATTTGCAATGTTATTACGCAGTACCTCTGTATAAGTTCAGTGTATGTTTTGACCACTGAATGTGCCTCGTTAACCGTTACGCTTGTTGTAACATTAAGGAAATTTGTATCTTTACTTTTTTCAATTGTTTATTTCAAAAATCCGTTCACTACTTATCACTGGATTGGCACAGGATTAGTTTTCGTAGGAACGATAATTTTTACAGAGGTCGTTGAGCAGATACGAACGCGAAAATCCAAAAAAGAATAGTTATTTTATTTGTTTGTATGTGCAAACATATGTACATACAACGTAATTGTAAATATTTTTAAACAATTTTTTCACAAACTGCAGCTAAAAACAATGTAAATAAATTGATATTATTGAATGTAAATCAATAGTTTGTTTTTTGTTTTGTAGTTAGAACCTAATTAATTTATTTAATTGGGAAAGAAAGAAAGAAAGATTTGGGTTGCGATTTTCACATTTTGTTCTGCAAAATCTGTATTAAATATTTTTTACAAAATGTGCCCGAAAATGTTTGATCTGGAAGAAATTTCTGACTGTAGTATATCTAACCGATGGTTGAAAGTTGCGCACGAAAATTCAGAAAAATGTGAAAAGTGAGTCCTGGCTGCTGGCAGTTGGACGATACTTCGATTGCAAAAAGGTCGTACGACCGGTGTATTTTTATCCAAAAAGTTTCAAGCGCGAATTTTTCTTAAAGTTTTTGTACAATTTTTACAAAAAATTGTGGGTCTATAGAGCATGTCTAAAGCTATCTTTTGAAGATTTAAAAATGTTTCTACAGCAAATCTTTATATACATTTTTTGAGCTGAAAGAAAGATTTGGGGTGCGATTTTTTTTATTTTTTTTCTACAAAATCTGTATAAAATATTTTTCACGAAATGTGCCCGAAAATTGTTGATCTGGAAGAAATTTCTGACTGTAGTATATCCAACCGATGGTTTAAAGTTGCGCACGAAAATTCAGAAAAATATGAAAAGTGAGTCTTGGCTGTTGGCAGTTTGGCGATACTTCGTCTAAAAAGCTTTAAGCGCGAATTTCTCTTAAAGTTTTTGTGCAATTTTTACAAAAAATTAGCGAAGCGGTTCGAAATAACTTCCACCCGTGAAACGTTTTGCGAAAGATGCGAAAAAACATTGCGAAACATTCTAAAACGAACATACATGTGTACCGGTGGAGTTTTATTATTTTTTGTTGTATGAATACATAATACGTACGTTCAATGAAATAAAAATTTCAACCAATGCAATCGTTTATTATATTTATTTATTTTATTTCATAATCCACATGAATCACATTGCTAATTTTCAAATAAATCCTTTTGGATTATTTATACCTTAATCAACTTGTAGACTAATATGTTTTACATCCCGCTTTTCAAATGTGCATATTTCTGAAGTGGATTTATCTGACCTGGTCATCTATTCTTACCATTTATCGACAACGACGTCAGGAACTAGAATTAATTGTTATATACATATTAATATATATTCATTTATCATTAATATGTGGATTCTATATGCTTTGCATATACACGTCCACAATAAAAAGGTTATGCAACAGTTTTTAAAGCCTTCGGGAGTATCGAGAAAAAGGGAAGCTGTAAAAAGATCTTAAAAAGTATAAGTATAAACTTCAGTGTAATTTTTGGGTATTTGATATTTGGGTATCGTTGAAATCGTGGCGTCTTACATGATACAATGAATCAATAGTTTACAAGTCAAATGCAAGGGATATTTGTTATAACCATAGCACAAGCATCTCGTAATATGGCCAGGAATCATAGGTAGTGGTTAAGCCTTTCTTCTGAGATTGTTGCAGGACCGGTAAGGCAGATTTCATCACATAGGAATTTGTCATTATTCTTATTGAAATATTAAACAGCAGACTTTATAGATTTTAGTGGAACGTGGGATTGACTGTTTGAAAACGGAAATTAAAGTTAATATAAGTAGGGGCGATGTATACAATGTAATAAGTTGTATAAGTGACAAACGAACTGGCTTTTCAGGTAATTAACAAAGGAAAAAACGAAGTTATCGAATTTCAAACAATCAAGCTGTTTTGTTAGTACGATTTGTAACCAGACATACATATCATGTATGCATTTACGCGAAACAGATGTTAGAGAAATGTTTTGGTGCAAAGCTGCAGCAAATTAGGGCTTCTTGAAATAACTGCTTAAAATATGCATATAAATAAGGACTAAGCAAATATAGACCTCATACATACAGTGGTCGAAGTAATTATAAATGCACCACATTTTGACAAGTTTTTACATATTATTTCTGTTGTTATTTAATTATGGTTATTTTTTCTAAAAATACAGTCCGTTCCTTAACAAAACCTGTTTAAATCCAATTTCCAACTTTGTGCAATATTTAAAAAAAAAAAATCAACAAACTTTCGTAAAAATATCGAACTTTTTTAATTAGATTTCCTAGAAAGATTCTGATGCAGTTTTGTAGCCCATCGAATTCCAGCAGAACAAAGTACAAATTTCAAATGGCTAAAAATTACGGTTATTTTTTTAGATTTTTTTTTGTCCAGATTGTTTCGATCATCTTCCATATAAAATGACTTGTGTGTATTCTTTATATGGAAGCACGAGACTATTTTTTAAATATTGCACAAAGTTTGAAACTTGGATTTACACGGGTTTTGTTAAAGAATGAACTATATTTTATAAAAAAAATAACCAAAATTAAATAACAACAAAAATAATATGTTAAAACTTGTCAAAATGTGGTGCGGCTACAATTATTTCTGTACTGTATATGTGCCAACTGATTAACAAATTAAGATCCTCGTAAAAAATATACTCTGCGTTGAAATACAAATCTGTCTTTGCATGTGTAAACACGGTAGCAGTTAGCAAATATTTTCCTTAAATGTATACCCATGCAAGGGGTATGCATTTCAACATATTTTTGGGGTGTTAGTAACTAGAACATTTTTCCTAAATTTTTCTTTTAAATCAATTAATCTAAGATTGAATATCCCTTCTTCTTTGTGCGAATTCGTTATATCATACATGAGAACTGAGAAAACCTTTCCTGTTGAGGAAAAACCAAATATCCAAGTTACTAGTTTTCTAATCTAGTACATAAAATATAATACCTTGAGTCTGTTTTGTGCTAAAATTTGTCTGGCTTTATTTCAAAATCAGTGCCATAAATAAATCAAAAATGTTTATCTCAAGATTTTTCCAAAACTTTTTCATTAGCCTCCAGCCTCAATAAAATTGTTGAACATCAAGACAACGTAACGTTGTACGTAATTTGCTTTGTTATTTTTAACATTGAAGTATTTCAATGCGAAAAAACTATAGAAAAACCCTTTAAAATTTAAACACAATTTATTAGTATAAGTACATTGCTATTTAATTGGTAGAAATCTTTGATGACTTTGAGTACGGTTCTCTCAAATATTGTAATTAAATCCACTTTCATAAAAAACTCCTTAATAATAATTTATCGCGATCAATAATTTTGCTTGACTCTTTCAGACTATTAAAATGCAAAGTACACAATACCAACTGGAAAATTGAAATATTTTGTACTTTCAAACCTTATCGAATTAAAATTTACGTTGGGAGATTTTAATTTTGGAAGTTCTAAGAATGACTATTATTTACATATTTATTGTAACGCAAAAATAAAACAAAAGTATATTGAATGACTGCTATGCTTTAAGGTAATTTATCTAAGTGGTAAAGTCATAAATGTTATTGTATTTGCAGATTGTATTGGAGTATTTTACCTTACAAGCTTAAAGAATTAGTGCATGTAAACATTGAAGGCATAACTATACTGTTATTTTTTTAATTTATCCTAAAATAAAAATAACATTCTCCAAGCTCTTAAATTAGTTTCAGCAGCGTAATGCTAAAGCATTAAGGTTTAAATCTGTCATACCGAAAATTAGTATAGAATTTTAATTAAATAGTTTGTCTTTAACTAAATTTGCTACAAATATGTATGTATGTAAGTTTTTTGAACAAACTGTTTAAAGCGTCATTGCATATAAAAGGCCAAAGAAAACGGCCCACATTAAAACAATCCCATGCATTTTTAGAATGGGGCTCTCACCGTCCGTAATTTTTCTAGCAACGAATTTCAGTGTTTCATCTAATAAAACTACAGGAATTGAAAATTTCATCACAGTTAGCCACTCTTCTCCGGACAGTGGAGTAACTTGGAAAACGGTCTAAAACAAAAATAAAAAATATATGTAAAAAATGTATTATTTGGATGTATAATCTCTCTCGGTTTTATTCGATTAGTTATTTTTTGTTGTACTTACAGAAAGGACTTCCACGTAAAGAATAACAAAATGAAGCGTAAACGAAAGGGCCATAGAACCAATTAGCCACAAATTGCACCATGGGGGCATGGTAATAAGTGACTGATTTTCTGATAAGCTATAGAAAGAAGATCGCTGTAAATACTTAAACAAAATATTAGTTTAATTCTTTTTACCTGTTCATAGCATTTAACATTTCAATTGTTACAAGTACGGACAAAGCCATTGTCATTGCGTGAGGATCGCTAAATATTTTACAATCAACTCCCTTGAAATCATCACTAGTACCGATGCATGACAGGTGGTGAGTTAATTGCCAATAGGATAGGTGGGGTCCTGTTTCCGCAAAAATGAACCACCAGGCAGCAGCGCCGACTGTGGCAGCACCGACATAGCCACCAATAGCCATGTATCTGTAATTATTTTATTGCTTTTAAAATATTCTCATTTATCGAAATGAAAATAGTGCTACGTACCGGAAGAATAGCCAGCCTGAAATAAGACCTTCATCAGCTTTGCGTGGAGGTTTTTCCATAATATCCAAGTCAGGAGGGTTGAATCCAAGAGCTGTTGCTGGTAGACCGTCTGTCACCTGAGATCACACAAAAGTAAATAAAAAATTGAACTTTAAAATTTGAAATAGCTTTAGTAATACTTACTAAGTTCACCCACAGAAGTTGGACGGGAATCAGAGCTTCGGGTAATCCCAAAGCTGCGGTTAAGAAGATAGAGACTACCTCACCAATGTTCGATGAAATAAGGTAACGGATAAACTGCTTCATGTTATTGTAGATAGCACGACCTTCTTCAACTGCAGATACAATGGAGGAGAAATTATCGTCGGCGAGCACCATTTCTGCAGCTGATTTAGCCACAGCCGTTCCTGAACCCATTGCAATACCGATTTCGGCTTTCTTAAGAGCTGGGGCGTCATTGACACCATCACCTGTCATAGCAGAAATTTCATTCATACCTTGTAGATATTCAACAATTTTCGACTTATGTTGTGGCTCTACACGCGAAAACAATCTAGCACGGGCACATGCAGACTTTTGTTCGGCAGGAGAAAGATCATCGAATTCACGTCCAGAATAAGATTTGCCAGTTGTATCTTCATCTTCGGTGAAAACGCCGATACGACGGCAAATGGCTTCAGCAGTTGCCTTGTTGTCACCTGTTATCACAATAACGCGGATGCCAGCTGCCCGGCAACGCACAATTGAATCGAATACCTCTTTACGTGGTGGATCCAACATTCCAACAACACCAACAAATGTTAAATTAATTTCATATTGGTAGAATTTCGTCGAATCGCCCAAGTCCATTTCATCGGGTCGCATTGGACTATCAGCAACAGCCAAGGCGAGACAACGCAATGTATCACGACCCGTACCATACTGGCCAGTAAGAGACAAAATCTTGCTCTTGAGGGAAGAAGTTAGTGGAACTTTGCTTGTTCCAACGCGTGCATGCGTACAACGATCCAAAACGCCTTCTGGAGCACCTTTAACAAATAACTTAGGGCCAGTACCCAGGCGCGATGGTTTCAGGGGTGTACAATACGATGACATTGATTTACGATCGCGAGAGAATTCAAGTGTGAATTCTTTTTTCCATTTTGTTTCAATCTCCTGACGAACTACAATAGCGGCCGAACGACGATCTAGCCCACTTTTGTTAACGTTGAAGGGATTTAGTTTTTCCGCAAGCACAATTAAAGCGGTTTCTGTTGCTTCACCAACTTTTTCAAAGCATTGTTTAAACTCGTTATAATCAATAGCGGAATCATTGCACATGATACAAATAGTAGCCAGTTCTTGAAGTGCCTCATATTCAGCGGCTTTTACTCGTTGACCGCCCAAGAAAAGTTCACCCAAAGGCTCATATGTGGATCCTGTTAGCTCAAACTCGAGAAAACTGCTATCATTACCTTCGACTTTTTCGAATATGAACATTCTTGACACAGACATTTGATTTGTGGTTAAAGTACCAGTTTTATCGGAGCAAATTACCGATGTACAGCCCAATGTTTCTACAGACGGTAAAGACCGCACAATGGCATTTTTCTTGGCCATACGACGAGTTCCCAAAGCCAGACAAGTTGTAATAACAGCTGGTAGACCTTCTGGAATGGCTGCAACTGCTAAAGCTACAGCAATCTTGAAATAGTAGATAGCACCTTTTATCCACGAGCCACCGTGAGCAGGATCATTGAAATGTCCAATATTAATAGCCCATACAGCAACACAAATGATGGAAATCACCTTCGAAAGCTGCTCACCAAACTCATCTAATTTTTGTTGTAGTGGAGTCTTAATTTCTTCCGTTTCTGACATTTCTGTTCGAATTTTGCCAATAGCTGTATTCAAACCTGTACCAATGACCACACCGCGAGCTTTACCAGCTGCTACATTTGTACCCGAAAATAGTATATTCTTTTTGTCTTGGTTAACGGCACGGGGGTCGGGAATAGGATCGGTATGCTTGATAACTGACACTGATTCACCAGTCAGAATAGACTGATCGATGCGTAGTGTTGTCGAGTAGATATGTGTTAATCTTATATCAGCGGGAATTTTATCACCTACTGACACCTCAACAATATCTCCAGGAACAATTTCCTTTGCTCTAATTTTCTGAATTCCGGACTTGTCCTGACGGACCACTTTACCCATTTCAGGTTCATATTCTTTAAGCGCTTCAATAGCGGACTCAGCATTTCGTTCTTGCCATACACCTACAACGGCATTTGCAATCAAAATTAAAAGAATAACTAAAGGTTCTACAAATGCTGTGAATGTCTCTTCGTGCTCTTCAAATAAAGCTAAAACCTGAAATATACAAATACAAAATGTTCGGTGCAATCAAATTATTGAAATTATACCTAGTGAAATTTATAAAAAAGGTATATAACGAATATGTATAGTGAATTAGGTACATAAATCTAAATAATGGCTTCAATACCAATCAGATCAAACAGATTTATTCACGTGAATATTGAAACTTACAAATGAGATGATAGCGGCCAACAACAGAATTTTCACGAGAAGGTCATCGAATTGCTCTAAAACAAGCTGCCAAATTGTTTTTCCTGTAAACATAACGTGTAGAGTTAGTTAATTTATACATATTGTCATCATCAATGCAAGATATCCTATTTCTCTTATTTTGATGTGACCTTTTTTATATTCGTTTAGTTTACTTTCAGATTAAAAAATACCAAAATTTATTGGCATTGTTTGAAGAACCCTTTAGTATGTATAATACGTGGAAATTTAAAGCGTTTTGCTTTTATAAAATTTTAAGTTATTCAAATAGAGCACTGCATTGCCAATGACAATATATGTATTTGTACTAATTTTCAAAGAATGGTCTTAAATACCTTCTTCCGTGGGCAGTTCTGAAGAGAGAATAGAAAATAAAGCAACCATTAGACATGACCAACTAATTTAATTCAAATCATTACCATTTGGACCATATTTCTTTTGATTGCTTTTAACTTGTTCCAATGTGAGTCCACGTTCTGCGTCTGTGCCAAAAAAGTTTAAGGCCTGTTCGACGGTTTTAGCGTGGCCGTCTTCCATTGTAACTAGATACACGACGCTCAGAAACTCTGGAAAGAGGAGGAAAGTTTTAAATTACATTAATTATTAATGTACTACTTTTTAATGGAACCTCGAAACTAAGCTCATTCATTGATAGCACCATTTGTGCATTATTATCGCTGATCCCGTACTTATCTCACTATATATAGTAAAACTGTTGAATAACAATAGATGCGGTATGAGGGAACGTAATCAACTATTATTAATACAAAATAGGCTTTCAAAAAGGACAAGGTCCTCGGTAACGAGGTGCTCGTTGTTTTTCTCCATGTACATATGTACTTCGTCATTGAAAAGTTAAGGGTTCAACAACTAGAAAGTTATATTGGTGGTGAGGTCCATAACACTTATGAATAACGCTTACCCATACAAGTTTTTTTACTTTTCAGCTATATACTAACTATTGAAGCCTTTGTTAAAGAGACTGGTGTTTTATAACACCTACCCTTGACCCTCTGCCCCCGTTCCCACGACAGTCGGGTCTACGTAACCGGAACGACCCAGGTTTATATTTGGCCAAGGACTGTCACTCCAGCAACACTCCCCACTCCCCTTGTAGCGGCTGGCGATCCGACAGCTCATCTTTTATCGTGTGCGGTACTCGCCGTCACCAACGCGTAAACCCTCTTCCCCTTAGCATCATTAAATGGTTGAGAAGAGCAAATGGTACAACAAACCGTTAGGCCACGGTGAAGAACTCATCTACCTAGTGGTCACGAGTCTTTTTGCATTGCTAAAATTTTTTTTTACTCCGCAAAGATTTTTTTTACGGAATAGCAAAGAATTCTAATTCCGAGTATGGAGCGCTTCAGAGACACTGAATATGTTGAACTATTTAATGTACATACATATATACTATAAAGTAACATAACGATAGCTGTTGAAATGATTATAAACACCACTTGAATGCATTTCAACACTGTAGAAATCCATTTACAAATAAATCGAATGACGTGGACTTTTTTCCGAATGTAATTCTTTTACAAATTCTAATCCTTAACTGATAGTTGAGTAAGGTTCGTCATTCGTACCTACAAGTTTGAGTAGTTTTCGTATTTCTATAGGATTATATGATTACAAGTCATAATAATCACGTTTTCGAATCAGGACTATGTATGTAAGTACAATATACTTTCCCCTTACGTACATGTTTTATATATATACATATCTACATACATGCATACATTAAATAATGGTTCGAAAAAGTTCCGCAAAAATTAATTGCATCTAAGAGCCTTTTTCTTAGAACATTACTTGCAAATAAAACTACACACATAAAATTACTAACTGTGATATGGCTTTGTACATACTTTTTTCCTAAATATATCCAAATTGCATTTACTTGGTTAGAAGAGGTACACAGCTGCAGTTGCCTTGCGTGACAAATTTTAGAGCAGCCCGCAAAAAGTACTTTTATTTATACACATTTACTTAACACTATTTAATGCTTAATTTTAAGCAAATATTTTTAATGCGTCTTATTTTAGCAATTTAACAAAGAAAATGCAAAGGCGAGTTTTACTGAAGAAGCTGGTATAGGGATTAGAGCTGGAAAACTATCGATGGCACTATCGATAGTATCGATGGTTTTTGACTATCGAAAACATCGATGGTTTTGTAAGCACTATCGATAGTTTTCACTCATACATATATTATTCAGTAAAGCAGTGTATGCATTGTTCAACTTTGCGTTCAACATTTCGTCGCCTGGATAAAAGATAGTCGTAAGCGCAATTTTGACGATTTTTAGTTCTAGATGCAGTTATATATTTTGAAATAAGGTCTTTCGATTGGTGTTATCAGTTTTCAGATATCTCCTTTAGTTTCCGAGATATTGACTAAAAATTTTTCTGTAATTTAGTAAAAATTTTGTAACTGATGCAGCCATATTAAACTAATCAATATCTTAAAAATAACCTCAATTTTTGGATATCTCCTTTAGCTTCCGAGATATTGGGTAAAAAGTGTCGTTAATTTAGTAGAAATTGTGGTCACTTTTGTCGTATTTCATACAAAGTGGCTGCCAAATTGTGGACAAATGACGCTTACGACAAAATTTTACTAAAGAAAATCCTTCATAAACTCAAAGCTAATTAACATTAAACAATAGAAATTTTATAATTTTGTGAACTAGTAACATTTTCAGAGACTTTGGAGAATATCTATCTTCGCGTTTTTGAGAAATTGCAACTTCAGTCGCGATTTCCCACAAGCTGCCGAAATCAACATACGACAATNAATTTGGAACGAACTGTGAACACCACAAATATTTTACACAGGCGACGATTTGCGTTCAACTCAACGCAGAGTTGCACAAAAAAAAATTGAATGGTTAAATGTTGGCTAGCGACCAACTTTGTTGAAAGCAATAATTGAAAGGCCATTCAACCAAAAGTTGGATGCTAAGGTGAACAACACCTTTTTATGGCAAATATTTTGATGTTTTTTCTAATTTTAATATTTTTAGCCATTCAACTTTTTTCGTGCAACCCTGCGCTGAGTTGAACGCAAAGTTGAACAATGCAAACACACTTTAAGAGTAAAAGCCGGTGGTACCTGCTTCATCTTGTGAGTCGGAAGGGACATTTAGCAAAGCAGAGCAAAGAATTTTGGAGCACAGATGCTACTTAAAGCCAAAAATTGTTAATAATTTTAATAAAAGTATGGAAAAATTTTATCAATTCTGATCTCATTTTGAATCAAATGGGGTGTTCACAATTCGTTCCAAATTGTGTCTGAAAATGTAGACGTCTACATTTTGAGACATTTTTAGCATCAAACTGTGAGCACCCCTTTCTAGCAGTCGTCGCAAAATCGTCTCAAAACTTTGCTGGTGTTGCCAGACATTTCTTCTTTGCGTGCATTTTTTATATGTCGCCTTTCGATTTTGTTTCTGAAAAATTGTAATTATTTAACTTAATTACCAATTCCTAATATTTGTTATTTCTTTTCCTTGATTTGTTTCTTTTCATCAGAAATTGCGCTCAAATTAAATGCAAATACGGAAAACGTGCCCAATAAATAAAAAAAATGTGATTAGTATTGCCATAATGCAACCCTGCTGCGAGGTTGCAAAATGTAGACGCGTAAAAAACATACCTTTGAGTGTGACAAAATGTAGACGGCGTCGTTTTCCAATTTTGTATGGGAAACAACAACACCACAGATTTTAAGGTTAGAAAACGTCTTAAAATGTAGACGTCTACATTTTGAGACACTATTTGGAACGAACTGTGAACACCCCAAAAGTTTTTATGTCTAATTTTTGGAATTTTTTAATCAAAACTATCGATAGTGGCGACTTTTTCGATATTATCGATGCTATCTATAGCTGCGACTATCGACTATCGAAACAATCGATGGCCACGACAATCGATAGTTTTCCAGCTCTAACTGGCCGTCTCCATAGGATAAAATTTATTTCTGTCAAGCTGTCATTTTGGTCGCTAGATATAAATTATATCAGTGGCAATATTTGTGTGGGCTTTTTATATCATGATATAAGCATCTGTGAGATAGCTTCCAAAACGTATTTTTGCCGGATTTAATCACTTAAAAAGTTTAGAAAATAGGCTATTTTACATCCAATTACATAATATTTTATATTAAAATATCAATAATGTTGCCGCCACGAAGTTTTCATGCAAATGAACATGTAGCTGTCAAACTACCAAATTGCCGGCAATAGATGGCAAGATATAAGCTCTGATATATATTGCTCTTGAAGAGCAATGAGCGGTCTCCATTGGCAAATTATATTCTGACATATGTATCCCGATATAAACTTTATCCTGTGGAGACGGGCAGTAATGGGGATTTAAAAAAAACATCGATGTATGGAGCAACATCGATGGTCGTGGCTTCAAACATCGATGTTTTTACGAATTCGATGTTAAATCAAAACATCGCAAATGTCTCTTGACTAATTTTGCACAATTTCATTTTGTGCGCGCTTTAAAATTTTGTGCCAGCGTTTAATAGCGATTAATAAGTATTTTCGTGGAACCAGGCACAAGTATGTTTCTTTAATAAATTCCCATATTGCACTTAATAAATGTTCATATACGTATACGTATATAAGTAAGAAATACTTAAATTGGTTTATAAGTATGTAGTGTACATATGTGTTAAGCTACATGTATTACGCCACAGATTCCAATTCATGTTAATTTTTAGAGTAATAAACGAACGAAGCTTGTGCTGCAGGTATTTTGATAAACTGGTAGCGGGCCCAGTGAAATTTTATTAAACTTTCCTTACAACATTTGTGAAAAGAAGAATGTAAATATATCGCCACCTGAAGTGCGAAAAGACGTAACAACATCGTAACTGAAATGGAAAAAGTTGTGACTACATTTTTTTATATTTTTTTCATTAAAAGATGTGGAAGTTGTTATTCGATGAAATCCAGCATATCAATCAAAAACTGAATTTTGAATTTTGTATTAATTACGACTTTTTGAATTTCAGCGACAATATTTGTTACGTCATGCGATTAAATTTTTACTTAATATTTGTTTTGTAAACCACCCCTCTGAGTCAATATGCTAACAATAAGAAACAGTAATCTTTACCGTTAGTTCAACTTTTTGAATCAGCACACAGGTTGAATAAAAATTATAAAAATCTGTAAAAACATCAATGTTTTCATTCGATACATCGAACTGCCATAGATATAATTTTTGGAAACATCGATATTTCACCGTAATTTACATCCCTAAGCTGGTTTAGAGGAAGCATGGTCTGACAGCTGAGAAACGACAAATCGTAGCACTCACACAAATTGCATGTGTTTTGCAAATGCACTAAAGGCCCAATTACACAATAGGGCTATTCGCGATCCCGTGCAAATGGCCTAGCATCATTGCATTGCAAATATTTTATAGGCTAAGTAATTTGAAGACACTCGCGAAGTATTGCAAGTGTACCAAATGCAAGCACAACTCTTTTTATGCTCAAATGTAGATATTAAATTTTGTCCTTTTTCCTTACATACTACAAGTCGATTTTGGTCACGAACACATACCTTGCATTACATATTCATGCATACATACTACATACCTATAACAGGTGAACGCTAGATGTACAGTATGTAAATAGGTAAATTAGAGAAATTACCATAATTATTGCGCTGAATAATACTAGATAACAAGAGAGTACGCTTGGCAGATACTCTGCCGCCGTGAATATTATACACATATGCATACAAATTTGTATATCTGTGGTCATAAGCAATAACCGCCTAAGTCGAAAAACCTAAATTCGAGANTCGTGAATATTATACACATATGCATACAAATTTGTATATCTGTGGTCATAAGCAATAACCGCCTAAGTCGAAAAACCTGAATTCGAGAAAAAACATTTTAAACATTTGGATTGTGATGTTATCCTTATGGGGAAACCAAAATATTTTCGTCTATAGATTTTTGAATAGCCTAGCTGGCGAGATGGGGATTTCACGTACGCGTGGAAAAGGGGTTGAAGAATATAACTCCATACTTTGCGATTATTGCTTGTGACCACACATATGTACATACAAAACAAAATATATATATATATGTATACATCGCAAAACAAACGTACATACATATATACATACATACATACATATGTATAAATTATAATAATTCTAAAATGAATGTAGTGTAATTCTTTCATTTCCAGAGTTTATTTTGTGCGCAAACTCTTTTGGCAACTTAGCTAATTTATAATATGTATGTGTGTGCATACACATGTATGCATGTGCACGGTTGCGATATATACGAGTATTCATACATATTATCACCGTTGCCCAGGAGACTGTCACATGGTCTGCTCCAATTTTGTTCTGTGCTTAGTATTCTAAAAATAATACATTTTATAATAGATGTAGAAATTCATCTTTTCTTGTCATATAAGTATGTGGCGTTACGAGAACCTTTTGTTGATTCCATTTGCATTTTCAATATTATATTAAAATTTTCAACCTTCCCGAGGGATTTTCATTATGCATATGAGTGCGATGTTATATGATTTTATGATTCAAAATAAAATATTTTACACTTTACACTTTTCCATAAACTCACTAAACACCAGGATTTTTCAAACTCGAAATAAACATTTTTCTATTATTTCGGGCAACTTTTCAACTTAAATTACTTGCTTTTCTATTTGCTGATGATTGATTATAGATATCACTAAAAAGTTGTTGGGAATTATGGGTTTATTTCAACTAAATTTCACATAAAAATTTCAATAAATTATTGAATTTTAAAAACTTACACTAATTTTTACTCGGCGTCAATTTTAAGATATTTTAATTTTCTTATTGCGAAACAATGTTCAGCCCAGCCGAAAATAAGAGCTAAGGAAAGATCGCGCTTTTGAAACGTTCGACGGCGACTGAATAAAATGAGAACAAATGCTTGATGAGAGTGCCTTTCCAAATTACAGAAATCTTTGATTTTGGCAAAATTCCCAAATAGAAAGACTCTCTATCACCCGGGAAATTTGGCACGTAAAATTTTCTAAACAATCTCATTTCATATATGATATTTATCAAAAAAAAATGTAAATGCTTTTTTTTATACATATTCTCATAATTACAGTGGGCCAAACTTTTGTATTGATAAATAAAATAAATGGTTTGAAACTACTTAAGTGTGCGGGGATTTTTAAAGGTAGGTAATGAAAACAGTTTAACTCTTACACTCATTTTGTTGCTTACAAGTAACTTTGGGGCTGAAAGGGTTATACGTCAGTTTGAAGCACACGTGCCTTTAATTTCCCCCCCTGTGGTTTTAAGTATTCTCGGCAGCCAGCAGGGTATATTTGTACATTAGCAGGAACCGAAGGCTTCAACTGAATTGATGATTTTTGAAGAACACTTGGTACATTTTTCGCTAACAAAGATTTAGCGTCAATTTGCGCTACACTTTTGATTAAGGAAGATTGATGATGAAGATCAATGAAGAATAAAATTGCTCCTGCAGCCGATAGGGTTCCAAGTACTAAAGCGTTTACTTGAATATCCATTGGTATGTACTCCAATGTTCCAAACACCAAGCACGCTAAAATAAATTGATTTTATTAATATTAAAATATTGAAAAATTTTGTATTTTTGCAAAAGTAATAAATAGGTTTATACTACTTTTTAAACTTATTATCTAACAATTTTGGCAGCTTTCCTTAAAAAATGATATGCAAATAACAAACAAAAAGTTTTTTTTTACCATGAGGTTTAATTTTTTTCTTTAATAATTTCACGATGAAGCAATGAAAGCGATTAAATTGTTTAATAATAGGTGTGTGTTTTGGAAATTTGAAGTGCGAGGAAAAAACTTAACCTTTAATAATGTTTTTTTTTTTTTATAATAATGTAACAAAATATTCACACTTATCAAGAAATAAGTTCATAATATAAAAATTGCCGTTTTCAGTGACAGTAAAGATATTTGTCGAATTTTTTTTTCTAGGAAGCTTGGGAGCAAACAACTAATGTCAATATCACTACAAAATTAGAAAAATGTGACAGTATGGAAAATTCGAAGGGACAAATGTCACTATTTCTTCTATAACGGCAACTGTGTATATCTGACTTTGAAAACAGTTTTACTTTAATTAGTTACCTTCAGTCAAGAAAAATATCACTCCGCAGTACAATAATATTTTCTCACACGTCCCATACGTATCCGCTATTATCCTGAAATAAAGTGCATAACCTTTACTTTATTATCAATATTTACTTTATTGTTGCAATGAATGTATATACAGTATATTTTGTTTTGCTGCCTTTATGCTTAAGTGCATATGTAAGATACATACCCCGAAATGCGCATCAGCGGCATTATTTTTAACATTTATAAGGAAACTGCTCCGATAGATGCATTCAACATATGTACATACTTGCCTCAAAAATTGTGCAACTATTATCAATTATCAAAGAAAGTATTACGTTTGCCTGCGGGGGCATAAACTGAACACAGAAAATGAAGCAGACTTCCCATAACGATAATAGCAGTTATACAAAGATTTTCTTTGGCTGATTCTGAATCAGTATGTAAATACAATTTTTAGTAATTTTGGTTTCAGAGAAAAAAGTCCCAAAATTATATTTCTGGTTGACGTTGTATTATAAATGATTGAGCTCCACTGTATTTTCAAGTTTTGATATAAGAAAAAAAAAATTGCGGAGTAATAGCTAAATAATTGAATAAGAAGTTGACGACATTACCTTGAAAGCAAAAAAGCCCCGGCTATTAACGTATAGCCACCGTAAGCGAGTATGCTAAAATCGTTTCCAGCCTGGGACCAATTTAAGTTGTTAAGTAAGCTCCATTCAGTTGATAATTTTTGGTTTCTTTTGTAAACTTGCTCGCCTTGGCTGTCTGTAAGCTTTTTGGTGATTAAAGCCGCAAAAGATACTAACTAAAATAAAAAAGTATAGTGGAAAATGCATGTATATATGTGCATGGGTGGCAATAAACTTTCGAGCAAAAATTATACATATAGGTACATACATAGTACATATGTGCGTACATATATATACATATTACATATGCGATATGTGTACAAACATATATACATATGTATGTATATATGCAGTTGTATGAATATTTATTTGCACGTATGTATATTAGTTTGCTTGTTTCTCCATATGCACGTGTGTCAAAAATTGCTTCGTGATCAATTATAAAATTTTTGAATACTTTTGAATCAAAATAAATTCGGATGTTAGAATATAAATGATTTTACACAACACAGTTCTGTTTGTGAACTCGAGGTCCTCCTTGTCCCTCTTAACATTCACTCACACGTACTTAAGTATGTATTATTATTTTTTCAAAAAACTGCTATCAAAATATTGGCTCAGATTTGTTAACTTACTAACTCCGAAAATGCAAGCAAACTGGAAATTGAAAACAAAGCCATTTCTGACGAGTTGAGATTAACAATTGAATTTAGAACTAAGAAAGAGCTTGATTCATGTAAGTAAATATTTCCAAAAGCTCAAACTAGCGATGTACAAACATAATGCCTATCTATGTATGTATGTACTTGCTAATGTGCATAGATGCAGCACATATCCGCTAATAATAATGAATAACATAAACAAAAACCTAGTTAAGTATGCAAAAATGACCGTTACCTTCCTCTTGTTCTATGTTGTGTAAAAATAGTTGTACCGTATGTATAGTTATGTAAATTCGAAACTTTAAAGCCGTTTTTCTCAAATTTTCGGTGTTTTGAGTTATAACAGTATTGAAGTAAATGAGCGATGTGTTAATATGTATATTTCCCAGCTCACCAAACAGACTTGAAACTCAATTTTATTAACGCATTTAAAAGTAGGAAATACGAAAGTCCTCATATGCAAATAATTACATTCATATTATGGACATGTACGTGGTAGATGTTATATTGAGGATTTGGCCAACTGGGATATTTAAATCAGCACATTCTTGTGTATTTACCTATGTTTATGCAATACACTAAAAATAAATGTAGACGCAATATATGTGCATATGTATGTTTTAAATATGACGTAAAATACATACAAATAGACAATATATACTTACACATGAATACTTACACATGAATTCTCGTGTTGGGAGCTTTAAAAAATAAATTTTCTTAGAGCCTGCTTCAAAAATATTCCGAACAAAAACATATTTATGGTATTGCAAATATGTACATGTGTACATACATACATATGTTCGTACGTACCAAGGTAAAGAATGCATATTTTTGAGCAAGTTCGTGTGCGACTATGAAAACCAAAATGATATTAAAAGCTTCTTCTAATGGCTGCCGCCCTAGGCAAACAATGGCAAACTTTCAAGTGTATTTCGGTCGTGGAAGAAATTCTTTGGCGGCAAAATAATAAAAGTATATTGAAAAGCATACATAACCGTAGATTGCACGTCTCGGGCAAAGCTGCCTATGTCACATTGTAGAGTTAATTATTTTGAAAAGAATAAATAAAAGTCGATTTTTTGTGCAATTTAAAATAAATTTCATTGGAAATATTGGCTTAGATATCACTGTGGAACAATTTTGGGGTTTTTTTTCAACCAAACAATGCACACTAGGTATTTAGCATCCATATACTGAATACGGGACAAATACATGACATTAAAAGAATTACGGAACATTTGGCGTCCCGTACAAAATAAATAAATTACTAGGACAATGGGTTAAAAAAGAGGGCTGTCCTGTATAATACAGGTCGGATGGTCACCGTACCTATGAGAGATGTCCACTTATGCGAATTTCACAAAATATAGTATTAAAATTTAAATTTAAATATTTAAACTGCATTTAATACATATTTATCCTTCAATAGATAAAAACAGAATTAATGGCAAATAAATTTAAATGTATGGCATTTTCTTTTCTACCGGGTAAATTCATTTCCCGCTTCGCTGAAGCAGTAAGAAGAGGGCTATGAAAAGTAACTTTTCACTTCAACTTTCACTTTCAACTTTAAAACATCTCTGAATATGGACGTGTGTACTTGTGTACATTTACATATGTACAGTTACGATCACCGAAATAATAGTGCGCACTTGCGAGATGCATTATGCCCTTGATGTCGTATACCACGCGATATTGGAATCGAGTTTTTTTTTTTAATTATCACCTCTAGTGTATGATTTAACTCTATGTAAATTTCAAACCGTTCCACAGCTACAGTTTAATTTGTTTAGAAGTATCGCCTGTTGTGAACGGCATTTAAGGCGAGCAGTGAAATAGTAGCGCATAACAAATAAAGTCACAAAATTTAACTTCAATTGCAAATATTTTAGTTTTTGGAATAAAAAGTATGTTTAATGACTTGGTTTGTTATATATTTAGCCGGAATAGACAAAACGCGTTTTTGTAATTTTTAGTGGTACGAAGTCTGCGCCGAGGTCACGAAAAACGTGAAATTATTAAAACTCTTATTAAAAATGGGGAAAATATGTAAAAAAAAGTGGAAAAAGTTGGTGGATGTTCAACCTCCATGATTCGAAATACGTTAACGTATCAAAATAAACGTGAAAAAGGGTTGGTAAGCAGGAGTTATCAACGACTACCATACGCAAATTATTAAATACTAGCGTTTACCCGCGGGTTTCACCCCACGTCTTTATACAAATACTAGCCGACCTCGTTTGAATGTGTAGATATTAAATAAGGTGTGATTGACAACCAAACAGGTTGCAACCCTACAAAAAAATAATATGTGATTGCACATCTGGAGGCGAAGCCCTTTCATTTGACACCTAATTTCTTGTAATCTAAAAAACAGCCCACATATTTTAATTTTTCGCACAGGTTGCAACCCTCTTAGAAAAATAAAATCTTACTGCAAATCTGAAGGCCAAACCTTTTCATTGGACACCTCATTTTTTAAATTGAATGAACTGTGCAAGTCATTAGCGAAAAATGCCCTCGCGTATTATACATACATAGTTTTTAAATAGGTGGCCACCCCACTTAAACAAAAAATAAAAACTTATTTAACATGCAGAGACCATATCCTTTCACTTGGTACCTCAGTTTTTAGTCCAACAAACGGCGAAGATCTTATAATTTTAAAAAAGTGGCAGCCCTACTCAAAAAGTAATACATTATTGAACATCTAAACGCCGAGCCCTTTTATTTGACACCTCATTTCTTGTAATCCAACGAACAGTGCGGATCTTATATTTTAGACAGGTGGCAACCCTATATGAATTTAAAATACTAAATATAATAATCCTATCAATACAGATTATACTTAAAAAATCTCATCTAAATCCATTCAGCAGTTTTTGAGATTAGCGTGTGCAAAGAATCTCGACTTTCTATTAAACTATGTATAAAAGATAGTAATTTTTAAATAGGTGGCAGCCCCACTCAAAAAAATTAAAATTTTTGTACATTTGATATCCCATTTTGTAAGCCAACGAACGGTGAAAATCTGTTTACTTTTATTAGGTGGTAACCCTACTCAGAAAAATAATCCATTATTGCACATATAGAAGCCAAGTCTTTACGTTTGACTGCGACGGTGGAGAACTGATGCCCACGCATATTATGATTGTGTATTGCAATTTTATCAGCAGGTGGCAACCCTATTAAAAAAAAAAATAAAACATTTGTGCTTTTCTAGAGGATCATCCCTTTCATTTGACACCTCAACTTTGGTAATCCAGAGAACGCTGTGGATCTTATAGTTTTTTAGAGAGGTGGCAACCCTATTAAAATTCTAAATGAAAAAGGTCGCTCTCCTTTCGATACAAAGTATATTGGAGAAAATGTCGTCAAAATCCGTTCTTTCCTTTATACTATGTATAGATGAAAAATAATTTATGTGAAGATGTTATATTTTATTTCTTCTCTAATATGACTATAGCCGTAATAGCAGAATACGATGGGACAGTTGTATAGCTTGGGTGTTATGGAATGAAATGCAATAATAACTTTTTGGCACAACAGGTGTTTATATTTACATTAAAAGATCTCCAATAAATAATATGATAGAAGTTCCAATATTGTAATATAAATGAATCTATTAAAATAAATGCATTTTTCAATGCAATTATCATACATATTATTTTCGATAAAGTCTTGGGTTTTATTCTGAGGAATTCTTGTTTAATGTCATTGCAAAACCTAAGCGAACTGGAAACTAGTCTTGTAAATTCGAAAGGCATATCAGAAGGAATTAAACAGGTCATGTGACTTGTGGTTCCGAAGTTATGGCTAATAAAGATTCCACGCCTATTTTATGTGCTACGACCCCTTTTTACAAACTCTTGTGTAACTGTAAGCACCTGCATACCATAGATATGTCTGCATATCGAATTTCAAGTTCATGTGACTTATGGTTCCGAAGTTGTGACTGACTAAAAATTCCAAGCCTATGTTATATGCCACGCCCCTTTTACAAACTCATTTATACATGCCTTAACATATGCATCTACCATAGATATGTTTCCATACCAAATTTCAAGGTCATGTGTATTTCACACCTATGGGAGGTGCCACGCCGCCTTTTCTTATACCGCCAATTTTTTCCCAAGAGTATGGAATTAATTTCATTTATCTCGACACCAAGTTCCAGTACTCTACCACAAATATTTCAAGAGATATACAACATGATAATTTTAGTTAGTAAGGGAGGTGCCACGCCCCCTTTTCCAGTGCTGTCCATATTTCTCTATGCCTATAACCTTCCCGTGGTAAAAGCAAAGTTTCATGCGATTCCGTGTAGCGGTTCAAAAGTTATAAGGTAATAATGAACAAACAGATATTCACATTTATATATATAGATTAGTATCGTCCAGTTGTCGAACTTCGACATTTTTTTTTTCATACACTTTTGAATTTTATCTGTCACCAATACTAACTCCTTTATGCGACTTACTATTTTGAATTCCGCCAGCAAAATTTATAGCGAATTTACAGGAAAACTTAACATCGAATTATAAATGTTAATACCGGATTGATTAATGCTAATTTTACCAAGTCTCATCCAAATTTCTTCAGTAGCTTTTGAAAATAGACCGAAAAAGGAACCTCGATTTTCATTTATAAAACATATGCATATGTATTTGTATGTATAGATCAAGGCGAATTAATATAAGGTGATAGTAAGAATACAAAAACAAAAATTTACATGTATTTTGTTAATGCTTTGGCGGCATCACAGTATACAGTAAACCAGCCATTGACAATATGCTTATTTGAAAATTAATACATGAAATATTGTGAATGTATAGGATTTATTTGTCATTAACCCATAAGCAGCGACTGATGCAAAAGAACCCACAAATGTTTGTTGATATATTTGACATGTAAATTTAAACAGCAAAATTCGTAAAAAAATATTCATAAAACAAAAAGATTTTTGATTACTACGTGGGAAGTGGGCGTGGTTATTGGCAGATTTCGCCAAAGTTTAACACTAACCTAACTTATACCAAAGGCAACTTCGACACCGACTTTCGTTAAAATATCTAAATTTTGTTCGAGTTAGCGTGTTTACAAACAGAGAGGGCTGAACTAGTTCATCTCGTCATTCTGAATATTTTGGTATATATGTATGCACATACATTTTATACGGTTAACAAACGCGCTTACTTATATGCATAAACCATCTTTTCTTGCATTAATTCATGCATTATCCTCTTTCAAATGTGAATAAGCGGCTGAACAAATACATACAAATTTCGCGAATTTGAAAATTAGAGAGTTCTACCTTAAGCTAAGTAATATTTGTTTTACCGCCTAATCGATGGGACCATTTTAAAAAGTCAGCCCACCATTACTCACTCAAAGTTGTGTTCGGAACACGGTTTGATTTATGTAGGAACTGCATCCGGTTATAATCGCTTACGCTTCACGCTTGATTTGCTTGGAATTTTGTTTTTCTCGTTATTTTATTTTATGTGACTTGAAAATATTTTTCACTATAAGAAAATATTTAAATTGGATTTCGTTTGGGTTAACGAAAACGACAACTGTGAAAAAATATCAACCAATACATTCAAACAAAATGTCAAATAAGCATATTTACATTTTTTGTTTTGGCTATCTGGATTACTGTATACTGTGGGCGGCATAAACTGTCAAAATCTGTGTGTGTAGAAATTCAAAGAAAATTTTTTAATTTGACATCAGAAGCCGTGCGGCGAAACACATACACAAAATCAGTTGATCTAGTAACACCAGCTTAGTCCCCTTTCAGACACGTCTAGTCTTGAAAGCAATTTTTATCGCATTCTCTTTTGTGTTTTCTGTTTGCTTCCACACGCGTCAAGTTTTATTGAATTCAAGTCCTTGGATCTTTAAATGGGAAGCAACGAAAAGATCAAAAGAGAACAAGAAAACTTGAAACGAATTGACGGTACGGAGGTATCTGTACTCTTCCCTTCTCTTCCCACCTCCTTCACCAACGAACGAGCAAGACTTGACGTGTCTGAAAGGGGACTTATATAAATTCGCCTTGGTATAGATGAGATGTTCATCACTGACTAATATATCAAACATATACCAATTCAGACTGTAAATAAGTTTTTCCGTTATATTTGTCTGAGAGCCTCTTGGAGGTTAAAAACTAAATTGCCCACATCTACGTAAACTCTTTCTTTTCATGGGAATCGTTGACGGTTGAGAAAGTATCTTGAAGGTTTACAACAAAAGATAATATTTCCTTCTCTAACGGCAGTTTCACACGGGTTTTTATCAAGACTGGGCCAGAACCCAATATTTTTTCATCACACGATTGGGCTACCAAATTATACCAAATTTTATGTTACTAATATGTGTTCTAAAAGTTAGTACCACTTTCCGCCATAATTACGTCATTGACATCATAAATAGCTGTGTCAAATTTCAGGACGTTAGCATAAGCGGTTCCAGAGATAAGCGATATTAGAATTTCAGTTTGTATGGGCGGTGCCATGCCCCCTTTCAAAAATCTACCACTCTTCGCCGTAAGTACGGTATTGACAACATATGTTGCTGTGTCAAATTTCAGGATGTTAGCATAGCATATGAGAATTTCAGTTTGTATGGGCGGTGCCACTCCCACTTTCCCAGTACCTACCATTTTTCACCGTAAGTAGGGTATTTACAATCTATGCATCTGTGCTAAGTTTCAGTTCCCCAGCATAATTGGCTTTAGAGATATAGTGGCTTTCACATTTTAGTCTTTATGTCAGATGCCACTCCCCCTATGTATCGGGATTAACATTTCTGGAATAGAGGAAGTTATATCCTTTAAATCGGTGTATGTTTCACCGAAATCGAGCGAACGGTGCTTTCAAAAAAGGGATTGCAAAATTTTCTTGAGGCGTATTTATATGTAGATTCGAAGACTCATCCCAAAATGTCAGCTTTAGAAATTTTGGATAACCTAAAGTTACCATGTAGTGTTCATACAGTAAAGAGACATCTCCAAGAACAGAAACTTTGTGCATGGCAGTCGATACCTCAGGATGATGCCTCGTAAACTCCAAAAGAAATCGTTATGCAGCACTGATTAAAAACAACGGCCATGCTACCAAATAGTAATTGTGCTAAATTTAGTATTAATATTAATAATTTAATACAAATTTAAGACTTTTTGTTATGTACTACTATTTTGCTAATTTCCATGAAAACACATCTTACATTAATTAATTTTTTTAGTGTTTATGTAAATAAAACTCTTTTGACCCCACATTTTGTTATACAATTGTCCTTCAGTTTTTCAATATCATGAATGCAACTATTATTTTGGTTTTCTAGTAATTTAAAAAATGTTTACCGTAAGTGCACACTACTATTTTAGTGCTCGCAGCTGTACATGCGCAAGAGTCAACATCAGACTAAAAAAAAAAACTAAATTGACGCATATTAGAGCTTCGGTCCGCTTATGGGAGATTTTTTTTCCTAACTAGACATGTTTGAGTGTCCGATTCCGTTTATCGGAATGTCCGTGTATGGGAGTGCATTTTGTATGAAAAAAACCGAAAATTGTTCGTTCCCAAGAATATGTCCGCTTAAAGGAGATGCCCTCTTATTAGAGCGTCCGTCTATGGGAGCTTTCACTGCAATGGCACTGATAAAATTTAGTTCAATGAAAAGACCGAACTAGTGAACTAGTTTATTGAAATAAACTAGTTCTTTAGTTCAAGAACTACCCAAGCCTACATTCAAGTAAGAAATTTAACCCGTGTTGGATTTTGGCAAACAAATTTCTCCAAGAATCACACAGAGGAGCAAATATCGCGGCAGCCCACAGTTCACAGTGGTGGGGCCACTCCGACTTATGCGGTTTAAGGGCTCACTGAAGTCTGCACCCCTAACAGCAATGGGTTGTGCGCTGGGTTTTGATGACGACCATGTCAAACGTTTAAAGGACTAAGATTTGAGGGCACGCCCCGTCTCCCACACATACCAGCGTTACCCCCGCCATGATATCAAAATCGTGATGGGATCCTTGGAAACACCGTCAGAAAATTCAGCCACCACAACGAAACGTCCGATAACTGGCTGGGGCTGATCGACTTCACCGGGCCCGAAACATGGTAATGTGCAGTTCTAGGTTCAAGCATAAAAAAAATCTATCAAGCTACGTGGCTGCCTCCAGATCAAAAACCAAGGTACGCACCCGCCTCTGAGCAGGAAAAAATGTTCTTCCAACAATGCAAGGCAAGCTCAAAGTCGAAAATCTGCACTCGCAACAGACAGCCAATGTATTCACAGCAACAACCCCGCTCTCTTCGTCATACCAGCTTTTCCTCCGCAGCGGCACGAAGAGATGGGGGTTAGTTGTCATCCGAGGCCATTTTGGTCCTTTCATTGGAGGCGTTTTTAAGTAACAGGTCCCAAGCCCAGCGCACAACTATTGCTAGGATTTTTTTTCCTTGCTCACAATTGCAAAAAATATTTCAAGACCTCGTAAAAATCCTCTTGGAATTTCACCTGACTTAAGTCCAATTGAACATTTAATGCGGAGAATGTAACCGGAACTAGCTCAATAATAAGTCAAAGAGTAGATGGCAAGACTTACGGAAAGGATGATGATGAAGGATGAATTAAGAATTAACTTTTGAATCCATTTCTGACCGGATAAAAGTTGGTACTTCGGCTGGAGATGAATCAGCTCCTGACCAGTGTTACTTTAAATTTAGTTTCTTAAAATAGTTTTATTAAAAATCGGATTTGAAAATGTCCAAGCGAAAGTCAACGAAACATATTTTCCCAACAAATTCCAAAAATTACAAAAGTTACAAGTGGTAAGTTGTATTTGGCAGCTGGTAAAGTCGGAATTTTTATGCTCTCACCCCCTAGGATTGTTACGGAGTAACAAAAAAAAAAGTTTACGGATTTAAATTTTTTCATTTATGCACGGATAAAAAGATCCACGTAACTTTAACTTAATATAATATTATAATTATATAACGAAGTAAGATATTAAATATATTCGCTTAAGACTAGCTAAAGTTAATATTTTTTCTTCTTAATTTATATAATATTGATATGAGTTTGCATAATATTCTTTACTAAAATAAAATAGCCGCTTAGTTCATCCATTTTCTACAATTAGGGGCACCACACATGCAAGATATCTTATGAGCATCGTCTTCGATATCAAATTTATAATCATACGACAGCTAAAACAAAGACATTATTAGTTCATAATATGTATTCGTAATTTTTGATTGGCTCTGATGAAATAATTACCTCTTCACCTCTATTGATTCTTCGCTTAGCAAATATGATAATCCGAAGTTCACGATCAACGTCAACAGTCTCCGTTACACAATTCGGATTGCAAGCGTGATTAATATATCGCGCTAATCCTCCTGATAAGGTAGCATCAACAACTCTATCCTCATCCAGACGGAACATATAGATTCCTCGATTCTAATAAACAAATAGACATATATATACAGTGTTTCTTAAAACATCATCAAATTAATAGAGTAATTTGAAAAACTCAAGGCAGGAAGTTTAACTTTAATATTAAAAACATATGCGTATATTAGTATTGCCAGGTAACACCAAATCAAATTAAATTAAAAACTTGGACTGTGCTAGCCCCTACATTGAATGAAATGCTATTTGGGTATACTAAAAAGTCATTGCGTATTTTTTGTTTTTCAATGTCACTTATTGATATAATAACCAAGGAATGAAACCGATTCAAAATAACGTTCCGGTTTGGGTTTCGGTTTTGCCAAGTGTTTTGGTTTCGGTTTTGGTTTCGTTCTTCAAAATTTATTTCGGTTTTGGTTTCGGTTTCGTTCCGGTTTCGGTTTTTCACAGAAATTTTGTTGATATTATTTAAATCACAATGTCTTAAACGTTGAGGAAAGAAAATCGAAAATTACAGTTCACTGATAATATCAACACTAGGTTCTTTCCCTAACAATCCGGACCGGATTTGGTAATTAGAGAATAAGAGAAACATTTTCTTTCAAAAATGGAACAAAGTTCAGAAGTACGGAAACGCAAAAACCCACATTTCGTGCCCACAAGTNGGTTTTAAACGGTTACGGTTTGGGTTTCGGTTTCATTCCTTGATAATAACACTGGTTTATAGCAAAAATCTTCTATGCATGCGAAAATCGAGATAGTTTTTTTTTCTATGGATAACTTTTAGAGATATTTGCAATTTACCATCGTTCAGCTTAAAAACAGAGTGGTTTCACTTAATCACGTATATCTTTCGAACCAATTGAACAATGGTAATACTAGATACGGGAAATGAAAGCAAATAAAATTCTCCATAAACTGTATACTTTTCGATATTCCTGATAGTTTCTGAGAAATTAATTAATCATTCCTGATACCTCTTGCTTTCTATGCAAATACCAGTGCAGTTAGGTATACGTGGCGTATGAGTAACACTCTTTTCTGCTCATATTTCATACAGAAAAATCCTTGCGCATTTTCATTTGACCAATGGGTAGGTTCAGAAGGCGCAGAAGTGGAGCGCAACCGTTGATAAAAAAATCAGTGATCATAATGCGCCTTCTGAACGGCTTGATACATTAGCTGTCAAATTCAAAACACACAACATGTTGTCTCAAATGATCATAAAAATATTACGATCATCTAACACGCAACTGTTCAATTGATCAGAAGTGCAAAACGACGCGTTCAGAAGGTGCAATCGCAACAGTTACTGAGCTGTTGCGCCTTCTGAACGTGCCCAATCATTCACCCATATTGCGAATCTCGACTGGCAGTATATAAACGACTATTAAGCGATTATCGATTATCGATGCTATTGTGAGTGGGCTATTTCACACTAGAATGACAGAAGAATTATTCTCACGGTTTCACACTGGATGAAAACTAGCAGAACAAAATATGCATACGTACAGAACATTTGCATGTGTTTGTAACTTTTGTGCTTGAAAGTTGCGTAGCGGCATGTTCGTAGTTGCGCATGAGTTAGTGCGCTGCGGCAGAACTGACACTTTAATGCGGGGTAGAAGCTGGAACAGCCTTTGAGTAACTTTACCTCACCGCACTGCCCCCCTTCCCTTGCCAACAAACAGAGTTGTTCTGGTGGCAGAAATGTTCCAGTGTGAAACCTGCCGGTGTCGCTTAGTCGCTCAATTAGCGACTGTGAATACTTTTGAATCGCTCATCCTTCTATTGCTGTTTTTTAGTCGATGGAGTTGGTGTTTATAAAATTTACATAAGAAAGTGGTACTGTAATGGATAAAAAGTAAGTAAATTGAAGTGGAAGTTGTAAAAAATTGTTGAATATATATATGTATGTATGTGTCTGAATTACCGATCAAAAATTGTAAGCAACAGTAGGCAACTTGTGCGGTTGGTCGAGCTGATGCAGGAGAATGAGGGCATAGGCAAAGGCGGAAGCTCCGCTTCTATTGTGAAATATATACAATATTTCATCAAAGTTTACAAAAAACTACATAATTTATTAATTAACTCGTGCTCGGAAATTTGAAATCTGTATTTTAAAAATTAAAGTTTAATTCTTTCACTACACTTGTATGCTAAATTTTTGAAAAGCGGGTCTGGCGTTTGGACACAAATACACATTATTGTACAAATAACTAAACCGTACCGTATTTCTTAAACTTCCATAGTCTTTTTTCGATTTTCGGAATCAACGATCGATTCTACATACAAATTGGATAGTGGCGTCCGGAGAACAAAATCAAAATTAAAATTTGTGATCCAGTGTGATCAAAGATCAATGAAATCTCTGCTTTATTCGATGGCCTTTGGACATCTTTCGGTTCGATCGTAAGAAACCCTGTCATTTACTGGCAAAAAACTGAACAAGGTACTGATTTACCAGTCAACATGGAGGTAACTGTATTCCACACAAGGGATTTGGTAGTGAGCACAACAATTTGAAGTCTGACCGCGCAAAGTCAGGCGAGTAAGCTGGGTGTGGCCACATTTGGAAAGCCTACCCAAGAAGGGCTGAAAAAGTGGTTCCCTGCATGCCGGAATTTGGAATTTACGCGATGTTTATATTAGCCATGTTCCATTTAACGCGTACATATGTATATGTATGTACGTATGTATATACACATACTAGTCAAAAAGCCAATCCTAAGTCGGGATCCAATCATTTTGAGCAAAAAGTTCTACACATTCACTTTATTAAAATACAAAAAAAAAAACACAACTCTATATACTTAATCACACAAAGTGCCTCCATGTTGATTTCGTCAACTTTAGACGTAGCAGCGTTTTTAGTTCGAAGATTTCTCCTGAATTTTTTTGTTATTTGTCTGACGCAATATATGCGCTGGAGTCATACTTGCGAATTAATTTTTTCCTCTGTGATGTTCTATTTGGGTAGGAGTCATATTTCCTTGCCGATGGCACAAACGATCGGCGTCTGCGCAGTCGATCCCTTTCCATTCTACGAATTTTTGCTATTTCCTAATGATATGCACCTTCTTCTCCGCACTTTCTTCGCGCAGCCATTTGTCGACAACGTGTTTTACCATTTAAAATTCTTATTTCACTTTTTGCAATTCTCACTTCATTACGCAGTAGTACTTGGGAGCATCGTATGATTGCTCGGTGAGTACTCCCTTGAGAGCATACGACTACTCCCCATTGCTCCCTATGCTTCTATATATAAGCATGTAATTTTGTAATCCCTTTTACATCCTAAATCAGGGAGTTCATACAGAATATCATCCCAAAGACCTCCTAAGTGAGCAATATAAGAGATATTTCAGAATAACCTCCCTGAAACGTCCCAAAAAGACAATAAGACACTCCATAGGAACATACCACATATTCCTCCCTAACAAGCAATAAGGGTGTATTCCCAAAGAAATATTTCCACAAACCTCCTAAGCGAGGTATATACCAGCTTTCGTATTCTCCCACATTCCTCCTAATGGAGTAATACAAGATTACTCCAACATTGCTTCAAAGGGAGAGCTAATAAGCATTACATAAGTATTAGATGTCTTATCACATGTACATATGTATTTATTACACTAATGATAAATATTAGAATTATACAAGAAAGAAATTATTCAAAAATGGAACATAATAAAACTAAAATTGGTAATATGTATACATATACTACATACATTCACACATATGTAAATACACGCATGCACATATATAATTCACTGGATTGATGAGTCGGGGATGCTTTCCAGTTCATAAGCCCACTCAAATTGGGAGAGTGTGATTTGTTGTGCCGATGGCGGCACAGGACAGGTGAAGATAAGGAACGTAGGAAGCTGGTGGTCTAACACGAAAGCTGACGCTCATTACTCGAAATCTGAAATGCATTCTGCGTTAAATAGTACAACATTCAATAAGTTTAAACAAACTTTTCATACATACCAAAACATACAAAATTTCGTTTGAACGAGGTGCGTATTGCTCCCCTAACAATCAAAAGGAATACTCCTGGATTGCTCGCTTAGGAGACATCGCTTTTTACTCCTAAGCGAATAGTAAAGGAGTTCAAAACCGACAAATCTCGCTTATTGCTCCCAAATCATGCCTCAGGGATCATTCTTTAACTGCTCGCTTAGAAGATATCCCATTACGCGAGCGAGCGAGCAATATAGGAGTACAAAACCGAAAAATCTCGTTTAATGCTCCTAATTCGTGCCTCAGAGAGAATTATTTACTTGCTCGCTTAGGAGATATCTTATTTGACTTCTAAGCGAGTAATAAAGAGGTACAAATCCCACAAATCTCTCTTGTTGCTCCGAAATGTGGTCAAGGGGAGTACTCTTTTATTCCTCATATAAGGAAATCTCTCTTCAAGTTCTAGTGGGTACATCAAATATATAATATGTGGATTCGTTTGTAACCGAGCTAGAAAAGAATACTCGGTAAATTAAAGAAATACTTGCACAGAAACAACACAAACTCGGGTATTTATCCGAGTTCAGCCAAGTCGGTTAAAAAGTATGGGAGCTGATGCTGATGCGTTGTGTTGTTAAATGAAAGAAAAAGGCGTGAGTACTAAGTACTCATGAAATTTGATGTGTATACATATGCGAACGGCAAAGCATAAAAGTACGTTTACATATAAATATAATCTCAATCAAAGCTCGTTAGCTGTCAAATTGGTTGTGCTTGCTATTCACACAACTCCAGGAAAAGTTAAACTTCTTCTCTGTGCCACCGTGGTCACTTTTTTTTTGCAACAAATATCTATTAGGCCATTTAAATATATTTTAACTGAATAACAACTGTGCCAAGTTTGGAAGAAATTGGTGCAGCGGTTACCAAGATATACACATGTAACCATAAGTGGGCGTGGCTACGCCCATTTTCCAAAAATTTATAATATTCTTATTTTTCGTCTAAAACTATTGTAAATTTGAGTGAATTATCTTCAG